ATCCTCAGTTCATCAATGTGTGCGAGTAAGCTAGCAATATTCAACGAGGCCATTTTAAAACCTCTTACCTTTGGTATGTTATGGCCAGAAATTGATACGTTGGATTGATTTGAAAAGCTTTCCTCTATTGGTACTCTACCTAAGGATCAAGTARAATTAGATTTAATATGACTATTGAAGTCTTTGGCGATGGCTCCTATGCCGGCTCGGTTGAGGTGGAGTCCCTYGTCATTCAATTCTTTGGTTGTGATTTTGTGCTTTATAAGAGTCCATCCTCGGTTTGAACAGAAGGATCCAAGCCGCTTGTTAACATCTATTCTGGCAGTTTCAAGCATACTGGAGTCTTGTCGAGCGGTAATTTCTGAAATTGCTATTTTACACTCTGGAAGGGCATTCTCAATGCTTTCACATACTTCAACAATCTTATCTGTTACGGTACTTGGAGTATCACTTTTAAGGTTGTTGGTTCCCGTATGAGAGAGAGAGAGAGAGAGAGAGAGAGAGAGAGAGAGAGAGAGAGAGCGAGCGAGAAAGAGATCAAAAAGTTTCTCGGATTGGTGTGATCCGTATTGGCATTGGATCCAAGGTCAAAACAATTTCAAATTCCATCAGGGAGCCATTTAATTAATTTCCTATTGAATGTACGTTTTCGCTGTTAACCTCATTTTTCTCATTTTCCTTATTTCTAATTAAGTTCCATAGTTTATCCCCCCCCCCCCTTTTTTTTAATCTATGCGTTCAGAAAACATGCTCATTCCGGAAACCACTCGATCGGGTCAACTCAACCTCAAATAAATCTGTGGGTAATCAAGCAGGTAAAAACGTATTACTAAATCAATATAAGATACTAGATGCTGTTATCTGTCTTGAACAATAACTTGGTCGATATATTAGAGCAGTAATTCATTTTACTCAAAGGTGATTATGCTCTTTTTCCTTTCTTTTCCTTCTTCCTTTTTCTTTCCTCTCCTCTCCTTTCCTTTCCTTTCCTTTCCTTTCCTTTCCTTCCGATCCCTTCCTTCCTTCCTTCCTTTTTTTTTTCTTTCCTCTTTCTCTCTTTCTCTCTCTCTCTCTCTTTATTTTTGGCACTTGGCTCGAGTACTTAAATCTAATCTTAATGCACTGACAATCTCGTGGTCACAGGCTAGATATTCTCGTGTATATTAGACAATTGTCACCTGTGGCCAAGTACTGCGTGGTTGAACATTGACAGAAACTTCTACTCCATTCCTGACTTCCTATCAACTTCTCTTCTTCCTAGATTACCCCTTCCATTCCCCAATGAGCTTAATCCACGTGCTAAAGAAAGTTTTTATTTTATTTTATTTTATTTTATTTTTCCTATTACTACTGCGCGACGAGTTCTGGTCTTCTGGTTCGATCTCAAACGCTACCACTCCTTCTCGTAAAGATCGTTACACACAATTTGAAACTTGAAATTTGAACAGTGTCCCCTTCACAGTTCCCTGCGCCATCTTGAAAGGTTGCCGTGCATTTGCATCGAAGCGAGACGAACGGCGAGCTTGCAATGGTAGTAGAGACATGTAAATAATTGTCCAAGGCGTTAAAAAACRGTCTCTATCATTGAAAGCTCACCGTTCATCTCGCTTCGAGCCAAAGACACGGTCAACCTCAGTTTCAAGATGGCGCAGGGTACTGTGAAGGGGACCATTTCACGAGGTCCCCCTGCCGGCTTAACCCCCGTTACGAGAGAATATTCTTCGTTTCAACAATAACATCAAAGCCGACACGAGTGACAAACGCCTGCGCATGCTCTGAATCCGTATGCAAATTAGTCGAAACATATGTAAATTCACTTTCAAACTAGTCTCCTACGCAGCCGCGTTGCGTGACGAAACTAATAGCGGCTGCGGAGGAGACTACTTTCAAACATGCCTGATGAATTGGACTTCAAAAAATGACAAAACTTAGTGTCCATGCTTGAAATTTAAGGCTAATTCTTTCATATTGTTTTTCTTAATACAGTATCTTGGTCTGACAAAAGTATACTCTCGAATTTTTTAGTATACTTGGAGGAAACAAACATTTATTTTCTCACTCAAACTCTTCAAAGTTCTTAGAAAACTTGCTAAAATGCACGCATGCGCAGACGTTTTTTCTAGTTTTAACAAAGCCGCCATGTTGGCTGAATTTCATGAAATTAATACTTTCACTATATCCTACCAACATAGCCGCCTTGCCTCGTTTTCCCCCACAGTCTCGAGGCTGAATGATTGAAAAACTCTTGTTGAAAACCAGCAATAAATCAACTTAAATAAGGTACACACTGCTTTTTAAAGCATATCAAACATTACCTGAGCTGTCCATTACTTCAAACCGGCTGATGCATTTCCCTTCCCAAAGTGGTCCTGCATGAGTACTGACAGTTGTTGATTAAGTATAGTGAGAAATTGGATTTCCTGTTTATTGTTTCATTTACCCAGTGAGTACTGATTTATTAGTYATTTTCCTGGAAAATAGAATTCATTTCTAGGCACTTCAGTTAATCAAAATTATTATAAAGAGTAAAGACAAATTTTGTAAAATCAAAATTTGTATTTTGAATGGCAAACTTACCGTCTAATTCGCTTAAAAATGGTTTCCGACAGGTAATCGATCGCTGATTGAGTTCTAAATGTTGTGGCAAAAACAACGGTTTTCGGAAAGACCAAATAGGACTTTAGAGAATAGTGTTGATTGGCCCCACTGTCGAACATTTATACCCCATTCACACCAAGGCTTAAACATGTTTAAAAGTGGTTCAACTAAACAGGTTTGGAAAACTATCTACGAACACTGCACAATATTCGGTAAGATAATGCATGTAAACTATCCTTTGTCTTGCTCTGACAATATTTTAGAAAGTTTCGTTATATTGTAGGTCTCTAGTTTCTCTTTTTTTTTCCCTAATGAAAACACAGTTTAACTAAACACGTTTAGATGTTCTATTTTGTTCCAAGGCGCGTGGCAGATAACAATATTTAAAGTGTAACATGAAGTAGTATTCGAGATGTAATCATATCGAGAAAAGCTATGTAAAGAACGGACTAAAATATACCAAAAATGACACCGAATTTAAAATTTTCGGTATAGATAGATAACTGATTTTGCTAAACTGAAAATAAAACCTTCATTTCCTGGCTTTTTTTCTTGATATTTTTCATCAAAGCTTCATCATATTTCGCCACATTCCTCTGCAGTCATTTTTGTTGTGAAATTTTGGCGGGAACGTGTAAGATCAAAATACGCATGCGCCCGTATGTGGTGAAGCCTGCGTTCCTCGTGGTCACTTGCTTCGCGCACCAAACAAGATCACTGCATAATGGCAGTTCGTTGAAATATCTGGATTTCCGCTATTTTATTTAGAATACTTAGAATACCAAGTGCAGTCCAGCAACTTACTTCTGTAGCRTGCCCCAATGATTGGAACTAAATACTGGGCTTCGATTTCAAAAACTAAGGATGTACCTTCCATCGCAGTACGCGGCTGACAAACTACGCCACTGCCCCGGATACATTTGGAGCATTTTTTCCGACTCATCTTGGCTTGTTTGAATCGTGAAATGCACCAGCCGTCTTGATCTGATACACTTGAGTTGAACCTTATACAATAGACTAGTTTCGAATTCCAAATTACCGCTGTGTTTCTTGATTACAGACTCATTTGCACAGGGTTAGCCTCGAGTTTGTGCAGAACTCACGTGTTACAGTCAAGGTCCGTCGAGTTTCAATATGTTTTTTAAACACTGATACGAGGCTAACCCTGTGCAAATGAGTCTGTAATCAAGGAACACAGCGGTAATTTGGAATTCGAAACTAGTCTATCGAACCTTTAAGCAACCGAATGCATTTAAAGCTTTAAAGCTTTTTTAAAGAACCTAATCCGTCTTTGCATTATATTTTCCCATCAGCGGCCCACACGAACATTATGAAAGTTCTATTCCCTAAGCTTGTCTTTTGATGCGTAACGAAAAACAAAGAAATGATACTCTAGGGAATAATACGTGGAAAACAGTACAGTCTGTGTGAAAGTCGCAAGTTAAAGACTGCCGCCATTTAGTTTATTCCATATTTTTTAAATTCATAATCGTTTCTAGCCACAGTATTATAAATTTAACACAGTTTTCCTGTTTCAATGGTTTTCCTTTATTAACAGCATTTTCTTGTGTTTTAACAAATACGTGCTTGCTAGCTATAGTTTTACTTTATCGGGCTTCCTGTGTGACATTGATTTGTCCAGTGAAGAGCAAACCAGACGCTAAGAGCGTATACTGGGTTGCCTTGTTATGACGTCATTCCAATGTTTTGATAAGCAAAATCAATCATCCAATCCACATATGGGTAATATTGCGCAACTTTTCCATTTTGTCGAGGAGGGAAAAAAACCAGACGTATTAATTTTAAGACTGGTTTGCCACAGGTGTGTGTAATGAAATAGAGAGAATAAGAGAAAAATATCAAATGAAATTTGATATCAAGAATATCAAATGGTATTTTTCTCTTATTCTCTCAAAAATAAACTAGTTATTCCAAACGTCTGCCCATCATTTAAATGCCGATTGACTTATTCATTGATCTGCTAGTTTAGAAAGTATTCAAGATCGACTTATTTATTGATCTCCTAGTTTATAGAGCACTCAAGGCCAAGTAGGCTCAGATTTCAGCCTACATAATCAGCTGAGAAAGCGAGAAAAGATTTTTAAATCTAAAATGTTGATCAACAAGTCAAACCGGAAATACAAGTTTCCCGCACTATGATTTACTGTCTCGTGATTGGATAAAACCTTTAGAACAAGGTAGGGAAACATGGCGGCCATGCTAAGAACAAGGACGATTTTGGGGTGTTTGCCCCGTTTATTTAGTAATAACGCTGGCTTAAGATCTCCAGCAGCAGTTACAAGCCTTCATTTTCAATCAAGAAAGTCTTCAACAAGGTAATCGTAATTATTTTGAAGCGTAGATTGTAAATTTTTTGATCCATGCACGTGTCATTTTTGGTTGTGTTCGGTGATGCAGATCATGTATCAACGATCTTTGCTCAGTTGCTCTTTGTGCTTTTGATCTGTACTTTTCAGCTATTTTAGTTGCAGATTTTATAGCTTTTATATCTGTGTGCTGCCTGCAAAATTACAACTTTGAATAGATACTTTATAACCCTTTAGGGCTGGTTCACACTTCAACATAAGCATTTCATAAGCATAAGAAACATAGTACTATTGTAATTCTTATTATAAGCATAAGTATAAGAAAATGGAAAAGTTTCCATCCCTTATACTTATGCTTTGTGCAGCCAGGTTCCCACTTTTGTTTTTTACTTAGCTAATTCTTATGCTTATGTTAAAGTGGTCAAAATGACCGGCAAGGCAATGATTTGACAGGACAAGTTCCAGTTCTGACCGGACATGTTTGTCCGATGTTTGGTCATTATTTTATTTGTTGATAGCTTTCACATGTATCATTATGCAGACGTAAGCTCAAGCTTGTAGTAATAAGAGTTTTTTAACCAAATATTAAAAGTCTTTGAAAGGTCGTAAAGGGAAAGTACAGTTTTTTCTGTAATTATTACGGTTTCTCTCAGTAAATAAAGTGTCTGTCCAAAAGTGGGATATATACTTTGTGAATACAGATTGAGACTAGAGACTAATAGGCACTGCAGGGGAATCGGGCAATAGACTAGTATCAATCCAATAAATCTGCAGGCATTGATAAGTAGATACATAGGAACAATTTGATAAATGACAGTAGTATGTTGCCAAATAGACCTTATTCAAGTGCAATGTTTTCCAATTACAGACCATGTGTCATTCCCAAGAGTATCATTTCTTTGCACGATGAATACGCTCTATCAAAATATGGCAACCAATTTGAATAACTAATGTTCTGCACTTAATAGTGACTAACTAGCCTCATGTTCAAATTTAGGGCTTAAAATAACAGATGGCCATGCACCAGTCATGATCGCAGACAAATTTAGTTTTTTTTTGGTCATATCTCTTTTCTTTCTCAACATTACTGGTTAAAATGACTGGCAAGATAAAGATTTGACTGGTCAAGTCCCAATACTGGCTGGAAATTGTCTGACATCTGGACATTATTTTAAGCTTTGACATGGAAATATAATGTGTAAAAGCATTTTCACATGCCATTCACTAGTCAGTCCAAAACAATAGTTATTCTAAGTCTGTTGGCAGCTATATTTTGATTCTTTGTATGCTTTCAAATTAAACAAGAAATCTTTTTCTCTTAAGGGCATGTATGCTGTGTGTAAACAATGGAAAAACATTGCAACTGTTGTCTCGATAGGAGCATAGCAATGAAACAATGTCAATGAAATAAACCTTAGAGCATATAGCTATGATTCCTGTGTAGCTTTACAAACCCTAATGTTGTTTTGATTGACAGCAGTCTATTGCAATTAAATTGTCAATGCAATAATTATCTGATATCTTGAATACTTTTTGTAAAGACCCCTCAACAAAAAGCTTAAAGAGGATGCTGAGGTCGTCGTCATTGGAGGTGGTTGCTTGGGTACCAGTATTGCCTATCACTTAGCCAAACGAGGTTTACCAGATGTAGTACTGCTGGAGAAGTCTGAATTGACTGCAGGCTCAACATGGCATGCGGTAAGCAAGATAGTTAGACAGTATATAGGTTATTGCATCATTAGAAGATGCAAAATATGCAGTCCATCTAAAGTCAGACATACCAGGGTTGATTTTCAGCCTCGTAGTCTAGAGGCTAATGACATGAATTGTATGGCTATTGTGAACAATCCGCACCGTACAGATCCTGATTGGACTTTGAAAACCAGCCGCTCATTTTTAAATGGCCAGTAGTAAAGAAGGATTAGGATGTGGGCCTGCTGTGACAATATTATTTATTATTCCGAATTTGTAATAAATAAATTTTATAACAAATTTTCTTTAAATAGAGTGTCTTGCCCTTTCAAATTTTCAGCTCGTAAATCTCTCATTCAGCTATGCGTAATTTTTATGTAACTGACCCACAGTAGTAAAGCATAGTAAAAAAATCTTTTTTTTAATTACAGGCTGGGCTTACGACTTACTTTAACACAGGAATCAACACGAAGCATATTCATTACTATAGCATTAAACTATTCCAAGAACTAGAGGCTGAGACAGGACAGGTACAGTAAAAGATCAAAATCTTTACTTCAAGAAAATATGTCTTCTTTGCTGCATGGTTCAGGGCAAGAAAAGGGTCGGGTATGATGAGGGAGGGTTGAGACTTAGGGTGGGGTATGACTGAGGGAGGAGTATGGTGGGTGGTAACTGAAGGGAGGGGTATGACTGAGGGAGGATTGTGACTGAAGGGAGGGGTTTGTCTTAGGGTGGGGTGTGATGAGGGAGGGGTGGGACTTAGGGTGGGGTATGACTGAGGGAGCAGTATGGTGGGTGGTGACTGAAGGGAGGGGTGTGACTGAGGGAGGGTTGTGACTGAAGGGAGGGGTTTGTCTTAGGGTGGGGTGTGATGAGGGAGGGGTGGGACTGAGAGTGGGACTTGGAGTGGGGTGTGACTGAGGGAGAGTTGTGAAGGAAATAGGGTCTTAGATGGGACTAAGGTATAAAATCAAAGACAATTCTTTACTGTATTTGGGAAATTTGTGGTGGTAATGCACCATCTCTCAACGATGCAACCCAAGGTATGCGAGTAGAGTTGTTTGTTGGTTCTCTCCTGTGTTTAGAGAGTTTTTCTTCAGTTTTCCTCCCTTCATAAAATCATCTTCTAAGTGCTAATTCAATCTGTTGTTGAAAGCTTAAACCTACCTGAGCCTCTGGATCAGAAGACTGAGCAATGATACACTCCACAAGTTTATTAGCTTTTAGCTATTTTGTGCAACCCTTGTATAAAGGCTTCTATCTATCTATCTACTCCCTGCAATTGATGTGGAAAAATTAACCTTTTTTTAAATATTTCTTTATTTGTTGAATCGTTAGGCAGTTGGATTCCATACCCCTGGGAGTCTTAGACTTTGTACTACACCAGAGCGCATGGATGAAGCTCGTTATCAGATGGCTCGGCAGGGATGGCATAAGGCACCACAGTGGTTGGTTACTCCTGATGAAATACACGAGATGATCCCATTTATGAATATGGATGGAATTTTGGGAGGGTTATTTAATCCAGGTTCGTTTAAAAAATAATAATATATAACTGTAAGATTATCATTTAGTTAATACTCCAGTTTTGAATTTCCTGTTGCTCATGGCTAACCTCAATTTTGTGTAAACTACTCGAAAGCTTCATGTGCCCCAGCAAACATAGATTCATGTAATGTGTAGTCCAGAAATTATCCATACCCACCCCCCAGAGGAATGAGGAATATTTAAAATTTCCGAAGAGTGGGGAGAGGGGGGATCACAGAAAGAACAAAAATTACAGGATTTGTATGGAAGAAAATTGGAATTTCCAGGGATAGAGGGGGGTTCGTCTTTAAAAAAATTCCTTCGTGAGGGGGTATGGATAATTTTTGGAACTACAAAATTTCTAAGTTGTTGAAGTTGTGCATTCTTCACTACACAGATTCAAAATTTAATCTCCCAACAATGTGCATTTAGTAGATTGTAAAACATTTAATGAAAACATGATTTGTTTGTCGTTATCAAGGTGATGGGCACATTGACCCATATTCTCTGACTCAAGCCTATGCTATCGGCGCAAGAATGTATGGAGCAGAAATCTACATGCCTGCTCCTGTCTCTGCCCTCAACTTTAGGTCTGATGGCTTGTGGGATGTACACACAGAACATGGCGTTATCAAGGCCAAGCATTTAGTAAATGCAGCAGGTACTGTGTGTGTGCAGCATAATTATTATGTACTCATTATCTTTTTAGCATTACCTATCATCCTTTTAATCTGAGATACTAAACATGGTGCATTTTGGTCTAGCTTGGGTATAAATATTACAAAATATAAAGTGGTTTCAAGGCAAACAATAATCAGAAAATATTGTCCTTGGGGAATTAAACTTTCTTGTCATGTAGGCATTAGCATACACAATGCAAATCCCCTTTCATGGTTAGATAATGGCCTTCATTTGGGTAGGAAAAAATATTAAGTCAACCTTCAAGAGTACAGCTGTACGCTATTATGCTTTATGGTTGCGTTGCTAGTCAATTAACCAGGCTTTAAAGATGGCAGCTGTTAAACCACTCTATTAGTTAACCTTTAGACAACAGTTGAGCGTTGTGTGCATAGAGCATGTATATATAATTGTAGTAGTAGTGTGTGTGAGTGAAAAGTGTCCTCCATTACTGCTAATAAAGAGGTTTTTCCCCCTTTTATCTTTTCTGTTCTTCAGGTTTTTGGGCAAGAGAGATTGGTGTTATGGTAGGTAGTGAGTTGCCGGTAACTCCCATTCACCATCAGTACATGGTGACATCAACCATACCAGAGGTGGCTGCTATGAAAGAGGAAATACCTGTTGTGCGGGATTTGGAAAGCTCATATTACCTCAGAAGAGAGAGGGGTGGACTTCTGACGGGACCATATGAACACATGGATAAAATGAAGATACAAGAAGACTGGTAGGCAGCTGGATGGAAGGAGAAGGGGAGGAGAGGGAAAAAAGGGTGGTAGGGATGGGATAGAAAATGGATGGAAAGCAAAATAATTAGTGGGATAAAGAGTGGTTGATTAGATGGATGGTTGAAAAAAGGAAAAAAATGCAAAGAGAAGGAAGAAAATAGGGAATTTAAAGCATCTGTTGGCATAGGCATGTATGGAGGATGAGTGAAGAGGAAAAATGGATGGGATGGCAATTGAATAGAAAAAAGAAAGAAATATTGGTTGAATAATAAATTTGTGTGGTGAACTGCACTTATGGGAAAAGAGGGAACAGAAGCCCCAATACTGGCAAATTTGACTAAATTGTGACCAATGTAACAATGTAACAAATCTGATAATCACCATTGCTATAACATTGCACAATCTGCTGTGCCATTGCTAGACAGAAAGGACATTTCAAAAAATGACTCTGCTTATTCCTTTAGGTGGGATGGAGTACCTCCGGCCTTTGGTAAAGAACTCTATGAAAGTGACCTTGATCGGCTCACAGAGAATATTGAAGGAGCAATGAAGCGTTTTCCGTTGCTAGAGACAGCTGATATAGCAAGTGTAGTTGCTGGTCCTATTACATACTCCCCTGATGTGTTACCCATGTTAGGACCAGACATTGAGGTGCCGAACATGTGGATGGCTATTGGGACTGGATATGGTGTCATTCATTCAGGTGCGTTAGAAAGATTATTCAGTCTGATACTTCTGGGAGGGAGTTAAGTTAGCTAAGTAGGAAGGATTGTAGCTGAAGAAGGAAATGAATAGATGGTTGAACTGACTGGTGGGTGCATGGATAGATGGATGTATAGGCAGTTAAGTGATAGTTGGATGGGTGGGCAGGAAAAATGGTTGAATGGATGGATAGATGGTTGTGCCTATGGGTAGATGATTGGCTGCATGGATGGCTGTGGTAGATAGGTGGAAGTAAAGACAGAAGTATGAATGGAAGTATGGATGTAAGTATGAATAGCTGGATGGACGTATGAGTGGATGGATGAGTGGATGG